ATCCAGAAAATAATCTTGGTGATACCCAGCGACGTATCACCAACTATGTCTCGAAATTTGGATGGAGTGGAGTTATAGGCAAGATACCCGAACCAGATATGGTCAAAGAGGCATTAAGAGCGCGTGATGTTTTCTTGTAAGTTGTTTTATTTCAAACTTTCTGTCAATTTTCGACAGTCAATGAAAAATTGTAGCTACATGGGTCATGGTAGTGGATCGAGATACTTCAGCAGACGACTGATTAGCGAAAACACTATAAATGCTGTGGCTATTTTGATGGGATGCGGAAGGTACGTTAAGATTTTTTTGTTTTAACAAATTTTGAAAGTAATAAGTTTTTTCTAGAAAAACCTTAAAAGTAATACGCTCTCAATCTTTTCCCGAGCATAACAGCTACCGTGTTGTTGGTGTAGCAGTATTTATGGCAGGATGATTCTAAAAATTTTTGTTTCAGTGTAAAACTCACACCTTTCGGATGGGGAATGGATGGGAAGAGCTCAGTATATGACTATACCGTCGCTAAATGTCCATCAGTTGTAGGATGCCTATGGACTGTTACAGACGGAGAGATTGATCGCTATTTCATGGCTTTGGTAGGGTTTCTACTGATTTTCTTTCAACTAAATGTATCTTCTGTAAAGTTGCTAGCACTGGTGTTATTTCCTAGGTGGATCTATGCTTTTCCTCGGATGGAAATCGAACTTTGACCGGAACAGATGGAGATGATAGCCGTCTTCGTGTAATTGTCGAAGCTATGCACCGAGCCAGAAGCAAATGCAAGTTACCCTACTTAACAGGAGCATCTGTTGTTTCATATGGCATTCCTGTCATTGCAATGGAGTAACTGCGCAGGCAGGAGACGTAATAGATACTTACATATCTAGTCGGCGTACTGGTTTTTTGCGATTACGCCGCCGTTCGGGTTGTCCATACTTGCTTGTACCTTTAGCAGAAATCTATGCTCTGCGAGCATTTGGCCCAATTCTGTTGAGCATATCCTACCTCGT